AAAAAAAAAAAAAAAAAAGAAAGAAAGAAAAAGAAAAAAATAGTGATCATCATAATATAATATTTTAAGATAATAATATTGAACTAGGGAGATGAAAAATAAATATGTAAATGAATGATGGAACTACATAAATGAAAATACGTAAGTGAAGATGGAAAACAAATACATAAATCAATGTTGGAATGATCACCTCCTAGTGTCAGAGTTACACTCATTTAGGATTTGTGTGTGTGTATGTGTGTGTGTGCATGTGTGTGTGTGTGCTCTTTCATGATTCCCTCATTCTCTGCATTGAGTATATGTGATTGTACTAACTGGAGAGGAACAGAATATTGTCCAAAGCTATTTTAAATTGTTTGTTCTATTCCAGTGAAGGAAAACAAAATATCCCTCTCTAAAATCCAGGGATTGGATGGCAGGATGGCATTTTACAAAGTCAAAGGCCTCGCTGTTCTCCTCCTGCCTTTTCCACCTAAAGTCAAAGGCCTTCCCAACATTCACTTCTCAGCTGGGAGACAGCAGCTTCCAAGGACCGAGGATCAGACTTTACTCTTTCCGTAAATGGATCCTCCCACATTTTCCTGCTTTTTGGAAGCCTGAAGATACTCTCTTCTTTGTCTTATCATTATAGGATTTATGGCTCTGTGTTAAAATACTATTTGAGCAAGGTTTCAAGGCTACTGCCTTGAGAGAGAAATGCTCTTGAACGAAGGCCCTCTCCTGTGTGATGGGTACGGTGCATGTCATAAACTTCTGCTGGTTTTTCTCTTTTTAATCTGGCTTTTGTTTTCAGGGGGGTGTCTCAACTAAGAACCCATCAGGGGAAAAAAAGAAGTTATAATTTCTCCCCTACAGTGTTATGTTCAAAGAAAACAGCTAGCACCTTTAAGAAGAATTTCCTAACTGGATTCAGGCTAAGACATTACCAGCAGTTTGCCTGAGGTCTGCCGGAAGCTGAAGGTTGTCCTTCTGTCACAAGGTCAAGAAGGGCTTCCTGACTGGGCGCAGGGGCTCATGCCAATAATCTCAACACTTTGGGAGGCCAAGGTGGGCAGATTAGCTGAGCTCAGGAGTTCCAGACCAGGCTGGGAAACATGGCGAAACCCTGTCTCTACTAAAAATACAAAAAATTAGCCAGGTGTGGTGGTGCCTGCCTGTAATCCCAGCTACTGGGAAGGCTGAGGCACGAGAATTGCTTGAGTCTGGGAGACGGAGGTTGCAGTAAGCCAAGATCACACACTTCACTCAAACCTGGGCGACAGAGTGAGACTCTGTCTCAAAAAAGGAACACAGAAGGGCCTCATTCAAGTGGAATCAGAAGGGACACAGATGGATTCCAGAGTTGTCTCCATCCTGGAGTTAAAAGAAAACATTTATGCGGCCAAAAAACATATGGAAAAAAGTTCATCATCATTGGTCATTAGAGAAATGCAAATCAAAACCACAATGTGATACCATCTCATGCCAGTTAGAATGGTGATCATTAAAAAATCAGGAAACAACAGATGCTGGAGAGGACGTGGAAAAATAGGAATGCTTTTACACTGTTGGTGGGAGTATAAATTAGTTCAACCATTGTGAAGGACACTGTGGCGATTCCTCAAGGATCTAGAACCAGAAATACTATTTGACCCAGCAATCCCATTATTGGGTATACACCTGAAGAATTAATAATCATTCTACTATAAAGACATGTGCACACGTATGTTCATTGCAGCACTGTTCACAACAGCAAAGACTTGGAACCAACCCAAATGCCCATCAATGGTAGACTGGATAAAGAAAATGTGGCACATATACACCATGGAACAGTAAGCAGTCATAAAAAGGATGAGTTCATGGCCCTTACAGGAACATGCATGAATCTGGAAACCATCATTCTCAGCAAACTGACATGGAACAGAAAACCAAACACCCCATGTTCTCACTCATAAGTGGGAACTGAACAATGAGAACACATGGACACAGGGAGGCGAACATCACATACTGGGACCTGTCAGGGATGGGGGACTATGGGAGGGATAGCACTAGGACAAATACCTAAAAGTAGGTGACGGGTTGATGGGTGCAGAAACAGCCATGGCGCATGTGTTCCTATGTAACAAACCTGCACGTTCTGCACGTGTAGCCCAGAACTTAAGGTATAATTAAAAAATTTTGTTATTTAACAATGTTCACAAGCAAACGTGAGATTGGCAATTCCGAGTGGTACAGGTTTCAGTGTGTGCAGGTCAAAACCCCTTTTTGGGCCGTGTTCCCCAATCCAAGGGACTCTGTGCCCATAGAATCCAATATACTGGTTTCCCCTAGAGCTGTGTGATACGTCAGCCCAGGTCTTGCAGTAGAACAGCTTGGACCGCTCTTGACAAGGAAAGAATCCCTCTCAAAAACCTCCCAATAGACTTTCACATCTCACTGACAGGACGTGGCTCACTTACCCACTGCTGCCTCATTGGCGAGTGGACTAGAATCCCAGGACAATTGAGCAAATCCGGATTGACAGACTTGAGGCTACTAGGGGTCCAGCCCCTCTCTGACACACACAGCACCCCAGTGCAGAAAGGGGGCAAGTGACGGGGTCCCTAACAGCATCTGCCACACTTTGCTTCTGATCATCAGTTTCCAAAAAGACAGGTGTCTGTCATTAGCTAGAGAGTTCTGTAGAGTCGGGAGCATGGACTCTGGGGAGCTGTGAGCCGCCCGCAGTCAACAAAAGAATGAATCCACAATTGTTGGAGAAAAGAACTCACAACTGCCACTGGTTTCCCACAGTTAGGGCCTGTGCTAGAGCCTCTCCTGCACGGGCTCAGGGCTGCCCCAGTAAGCTGGCGGACAGGAGGCATCTGCAGAAGTCACGTGGAAAGAGTACAGGCCTTCCAATTGGATGGGCCTCGAGTCCTAGCTTTGCCATCCACTAGGCTGTGCAACCTTAGTAATGTCATCCAACTTCTCTAGGCTTCAATTTCAAAATGGAGGGAATAATATCGACTTTATAAATTGCTATGAAGATTTTTTCCCAGTCAGATGAAATCTCCAGCACAAAATAGGTTCTCATGCAATCATTCTTAAACACTGATGCTCTAATCAACACCTGAGAGTCTTGGCCGGGCTCGGTGGCTCATGCCTGTACTCCCAGCATGTTGGGAGGCTGAAGTAGGGGGATCACTTGAGGCCAGGTGTTCGAGACCAGCCTGGTCAGCACGGCGAAACCCTGTTTCTACTAAAAAATACAAAAATTAGCCAGATGCGGTGGTGCACGCCTGTAATCCCAGCTACTTGAGAGGCTGAGGCACAAGAATCACTGGAACCCAGGAGGCGGAGGTTGCAGTGAGCCAAGATTATACCACTGCACTCTAGCCTGGGTAACAGAGAGAGACTCTGTCTCAAAAAAAAAAAGAAGGATCACCTGAGAATCTATTTAAACATGCAGATGCCTGGGCCTCCCACCCCAGACATTCTGCTTTCCTGCATCAGGGTCCAGGAATCTGCATTTTTAACAAGGGCCTGCAGGTGATTCTGATGTAAATGATCACTGGCTGCTCGCGGAACCACATTGCGGTAAACTGCTGCTGCTGTAATCAGGCAAAACCTGAGCGTGACGAATTTCTCCTGCGACAAGGAAATTCATCTTAATTTTAATTATCTATGTATAATTAGCCTTGTTCCGTTAAAAATAATTAAGTCTGCAGTGCTTGAGGTGTGCGTGGCTCACTGGTAAATGCTGAAGTCCAGCAGCATTCTCCCTGCACAAATCCACCAAGCACGTGAACCTCACGGAGGGAGGGCCTTTAGCTGCAAAGGTTGAGGAATAAAAGCAGCCTCCTCAACCTTTGCAGCCAAAATAAGACTCTTGCTAAAATTACCAAAGCATCCCATTTCCGGCAGAGAACTTCCTTTCAACATTTGGCCTGGATTAGAGTCAGGTCCTAGCTGGCCCCATCATGCTGTTGGTCCAATTGACTTCCCGCCCAAGGAAAGGTACAGTACCCAGAAAAGCAAAGGTGAATCTCTCACTTCCCTCTCTTCAATAATTGGCTCTGCTGGTGGCCTCAGCAGGATGTAACACTATTTATTTCCTCTCTCCAGCCTCTTGGCCTCCAGCAGTAATAGCTGCTGCCTGTTATTGCAAAACTAGAATGGAAAACATTTTGCAGATGGTGTGACTTGGAACAAAAGAGCAGGAAAGAGAAGAACCCCCCCCAGCCAGCATCTGAGAGTGAGAGGGCATGTAAGGGTGATGGAAGGAGGAGAGGACAGAGGAAGAGTGTTTGGGAAGGAAGCTCTCGTGGATTGGGAGAGGTTTGGGAAGGACAAGGCAGAAGACACGGCTGTGTCTGACTGTGCTCTGAACGCTGTTAGGCTTCTCCTGCTTGCGTAAGAAAGACTTGGCAGCAGTCAGGGTCAGAAGACTTGTGGTCAGGATGAGAGTGATCAGCTGTTCTTGTCCAAAAGAGCAAACCAAGGGCAAAATGAAATGAAATGAGATGAGATGGGATGGGAAGACCTTCGGGTCAAGTCCAGTGTTTCCCAAAACTGGCCTGTCGTCAGGATCACTTGGAGTGCTGGTTAAGACACCAATTCCCAGGCACCACCCTGCCACACATTCTTCCCAGCAATTTGGATGATGGGGTAGATTTGGGAGCCACTGGTGTAGCGGTTCAGGGGCTCCTGGCTGATGGCATTACTTTTGGGGCGATGGCGTTATTTCTGTAGATTCTTCAGAGTAGTTAATGGATTTTTCTACATTGCAATAATCACATTTGTAAAGCTCTATTCTTCACAGCCAAGGCCACAGTAAGCTCTCTCTGGGTCCTATGACACTGACTTTTAGGGCCCCTACATCACATCAAAGACAAAAACATATCCATGTGTGATATTGTGCTGGCCTAAAGCCAGAACCTGAGCAACACCATCTTTACAAAATGCAAAACTGTGTTTTAAATAAGTTGCAACGGCTGCCCCATTTTCCTCACAATAACTGCTGGCCCTTGGAATGTCCGGAGACCCCACCCTGGTCTCCGCCCAGGAGGTGAATTACAAAATGCCCTGGCCCCTTTTAGATGAAAATGTCTAAAACCTTTTCATCCCCATCCCCGCTCCTCACCCCCACTCCCAAGGTGGTTTTTCGGGTATAAAAAGTCTTGGCACCCTCCTTTCGACGCCACAGGTTGGAGAGACGTGAGTCCTCTGTGGTCGCTGGCATAATAAATGACCCTGCAATCTGGCATATTTCTGTCTTGGTGCTAACTTTCTACGCTCGGTCCAGTACAACACACGTTCCACCTTAAGTAGAATTTTATCATATGACTTTGAAGTTTCTGTTGCTCTCAGTAACTCATTTAAGGTTAACAGTCATTGCTTGGAGATCATCTAGATACTTAGGAGTTTTTTCAAAGTGAAAAAAGTTTAATCCACAGATAATTTGCTAATGTAATGAAAGTTCCAAAAACCCTAAATTTAATAGCTGAATGAGTGGGACTATGATGTTTTATTTTTCAGATATTTTGTTAAATCCTCATTCATGTTGACTTTGAAGCTTTACTTGTATTTTCGGGTTTAGTTCTCTGTTTTAAGTCTCAGTCAGTCATTTCTGTGAGCCTGTGGGCAAGTCTGAGGCACAAGACAGTTCCATCTAATGGGCCAGACATCCCTGCCAACAAAGACGCTGTGAGATAATATCACTTAGAGGTGAGAAGCCCATTGGAGTTGATTTCAGAGGCCTGAGTCCTATGCAAAAAAAAAAAAAAAAAAAAAAAGCTAGACTTGAGAATAGAAACATCAAAGAATCAAAGACCCAGTGTAATCAAAAAGTAACAGATCAACAGAAAGCTCCACAGGGCTCATGGTCCTTGCCAAGATTCAGCCATTTTACTTGAACAAATGCCCCTGATATTATTGCAAGTCTTTTGTTAATTTCCAGAGTTTTGAAAAAGTTGGTTTTGACCATTTTTTTTACAGTGTTCTTGTTGCTTTCATGGAGACAGGAGTTTCAGAGGCCCTTGCACTGCGATACCAAAGTGTTTCTCAGCATTGCCTATTTTAGTCATAAATAAGGCCGGGCATGGTGGCTCACACCTGTAATCCCAGCACTTTGGGAGGCCGAGATTGGATCACTTGAGGTCAGGAGTTCAATACCAGCCTGGCCAACCCAGGAGGCAGAGGTTGCAGTGAGCTGAGATGGTACCACTGCACTCTAGCCTGTGTGACAGAGGGACACTCTATCTTAAAAAAAAAAATTATAAATAAATCTTGCCCTTTTAGGAGTGAGTTGGAAAAGTGGTTATGAAAATTAAATGATCATTGTATATAAAACAACTAATCTAATGCCTATAGCATGGTAAATGCTCGCCATTGAAGACAGTAGTTATTCTTTTTATATGACCATGAGTGCTCCCGGCCGGCCCTAAGCAGTTTAGTGGCTGGGTAGCCGAGCTGTAGAGCAGGGACGAGACCACCCATCTTCTGACTGACAGCCGATGCCTCTGAATGCACCGTCATGCCCCTGTGACCTCACCGCAAATGAGCCACAGTTTTCAGAGGCCCTTCTTGCCTCTTAAATATATCGTGCAATCTCCAGGTATACTCCTCAATACAATTTTAAGACATGACTCACAGAATGTCTAATAAAATGTGTAAGATAATTTAATTCCAGTGATCACATGCAGACGAGTGGAGACAGCCATGAGCAGAAAGCACATTCATGTTCGCCTGCTCCCAGTATTCACTCAAATGCAATCGACATCCCCTTGGAACCGCTCTTTCTGACGCCCTGATTCCTCACTCAGCCCTCTCACACCATGGAAGATGCATCTCCCTACCCTTGGAATCAAAACGGCTTGTGACAGCCCACCCCAGCACTTCGGCCCTCACTAGAACCATCAGGGATGATGATGGCATTTTCCCGGCTCCCTCTGGACTTAGTCTTTCTAACTTTCAGGACAATGGGACCTCTACAATAAGCAAAGGAAGAAACGTAGGTAGGAAAATAGTACGTTTTGGAGTCAAGCAGTGGTAAATTCAAAGCCCAATTTTTCTATTTACTGGATATGTGATTTGGATTATCAGACAAACCTCTCTGAGCCTCCGTCCCACTCATCTACAAAACAAGAGTAAGATCACCTGTTTCTGCTAGGCTATTGTGAGACATTGAAATTCCATATGTCAAGAACCTGCTCTTCGGCAGGTGCCCAGTTAGTAGCAGTGATCATCACTGCCACAGCCACGTGCTGACAGAGGTTATGGCAGTAGTGAGGAAAGAAGTCACTCTCAGCTACCCTGAAAGTCCAGGCCTGGATTTGTGTATTTTGCTTCATTCTCCTCTCTCAAATCCAAACCTAACAAGCTCCGCTGCGGGCACAGAACCCTTTCCCTTGTAGTAAGTTGTTTATTTCCTTGTATTTGTGAAGCCAAGAAAAGAAGATTTGATCCTTCCCGGCCCTGTTTGATTTTAACCCAGGAAAAGTTGACTTGGAAAGTTTGACATTTCCATTCTGCCCGGGGTGATTTTCGCCTTCAATTTCACTTTCCTGAGCCAAGAAAGAGCAAACCACAGAAAGACTTCATGTTTTTCTTCTTTTAATGAGCCCAAGGACAAGAATATGAAATATTTACTTATAAAGGGAGAAAGCAGGTGAAGAAATGTATGCGCAGCACGTCCGTGATCAGAGGCCCATCCTGGCTTCTCAAACTGAGAACTGCCCCACCCTGAGAGCTCCTGCAAGTACTGCCTTGATCCAGAATTGTCCTCTTCCCTTCTCCAACTCTGTATGTGAAAGCATGAAAACAAATAAATTTAGAGAAAATTGTTCAGCCTTGCTGTGTAAACACATTACATACGTGCTGTTATTCTTCATTAAAATCTGCTAGCTCTGGAATTTTGGTTCTCATGTACATATTAATACAAAAAGACAAATATACAGTCCAAAACAGGAATCAGTAGGTACGTTTAGAAAGTTGGAATTAATCAATGGCTTCCTGCAGGTAGAACTCCAGGAAGCGACTGTCCTGGAAGTGACTTTTTTGTTGTTGTTACGACCAGTTAAGTGGACCACTGGGAATAAAAAAGGAAATGGAAGTTACCAAAAATTTCCAATTCGTTATTCATTTCTGCATTATTCTTTTGTGAAATCTTGCAACATGTGAAGAGCATTTCTCCTAAAAGTTGAAGTATTCAAAGATTGAGCTTGCATATATTTATGACACAACTTGTTTCTCCTTAAAAAAAATTAAAAATGCAAATGCATAAAACGGTTAAGTTGGGCAGTCTGTAGCCTACAGGATGTGGGACATAAAGTGGTTAACAGGTAATGCTCCTGCACTTCCGTCGCCAGGCAGAAGACTTCTTCCTGTCCTTAAACATCAAGTATCAAAGGGCCATAATTCTGCCCAATGAAGTACTCTTTTCAGGAAGTTACTCTTCCAGCCAAATGGAGAGCAACCGGACACCCTCCCATCCTATCCTGGGGCAAGACACAGATGGAGGGGGAGCCTGGCCAGAAAGAGAGAAAGGAACCTTTGCAGAAGGTACAGAATGAGTGGCAGACATTTCTCCAGAGCTTTTTTGGGGGAGCCAGACTCATGATTAAAATCAGGAGGCCGGGGCGGTGGCTCACACCTGTAATCCCAGCACTTTGAAGGGCTGAGGCAGGCGGATACGAGGTCAAGAGATCCAGACCAACCATCTCTACTAAAAATACAAAAATTAGCTGGGCGCAGTGGTGCATGCCTGTAATCCCAGCTACTCAGGAGGCTGAGGCAGGAGAATCACTCGAATCTGGGAGGTGGAGTTTGCAGTGAGCCGAGGTTGAGCCACCGCACTCCAGCCTGGGTGACAGAGCAAGACTCTGTCACACACAAAAAAAAAAAATCAGGAAAGACAGGCCAGGTGACAGGGCAAGACTTTGTCTCAAAACAATAAAAAATTTAGGAAAGACTGTGATTTGAAGCATGACGCCTGAGCACATACATTCTCTGAGACAGTGGTCCCCAACCTTTTTTTTGTGGAAGACTTGTTTTGCCACAGGGTGCATTGTGGGCTCAGTGGGTACGGTTTCCAGATGAAACTGTTCTACCTTAGATTATCAAGCATTAGATTCTCATAAGGGTCCACAACCCAGATCCTTCACATGCACAGTTCACAGTAGGGTTCGTGCTCCTATGAGCATCAACGCTGCCGCTGGTCTGATGGGAGGCGGATCTCCAGCGGTGATGCTTGCTTGCCTGCCCCTCGCCTCCTGCTGTGCGGCCTGGTTCCTAACAGGCCATGGACCGGTACTGGTCCGTGGCCCTGAGATTGAGGACCCTTGCTCAAAGACAAAGAATAAAGGCCCATCTCCAAGAAAGTAATGCCCCACAAAAACCAGATCAGAATGGAAGAGGCTAGAGGGACCTGCACAAAGCATGTGGCTGTGTACCTGCACACACAAATACACAAGACATTGTCAATGAATGAAAAGTCTACTCTCTTAGCCATGCGTGACCAAATCATCTCTTGCAGGAATAGTTCACATTTTTTAAAAAGCACTCAAAGAACTGAAATCTCACAAGCACAGGGCAGAATTCAGTGGTCATCGCGCCTTGTGAGCAGTCAAGTTTTCTGTTCATCTTCATTCATATCAGCTTGCCATAGTACAGGAGTAAATGTGTCATGAAAAGTTATTCTTCTATTAATTCTGGCAATCATTGTATTAACTACTCATTCAAGGTATATTGCAATACTGACCCACCATAAGTTTATCTTCAAATGACAAGGCAGGCTTGTGCTATTACAAGTGATACCTCATCAACACTTGCTATCAAGAATTGCCCATGACCGGGCGCGGTGGCTCAAGCCTGTAATCCCAGCACTTTGGGAGGCCGAGGCGGGTAGATCACGGTCAAGAGATCGAGACCATCCTGGTCAACATGGTGAAACCCCGTCTCTACTAAAAAAAAAATACAAAACATTAGCTGGGCATGGTTGTGCGTGCCTGTAATCCCAGCTACTCAAGAGGCTGAGGCAGGAGAATTGCCTGAGAATTGCCAGGAGGCGGAGGTTGCGGTGAGCCAAGATCGCGCCATTGCACTCCAGCCTGGGTAACATAAGCGAAACCCCGTCT